CCCCATTAGCCAATATATACCATGTAACATTAGATGAAAATGCCTACCGCGCATTCGAAAGCCTTAGTGGATCCATGCAACCCTCTCCACCAACCACAATACGCAAAAACCATCCACAGATAGAGTTAAATTCCTCTATGGAGTCAATAGCAGCTAATTCAATGAAAGAATTGTGTGAAACCGGGTCTCTCCGAGGCAGCGCTAAAGAGGCACGGGTCATGCACAAGCGAGTCTGACTCGAGCCGCAGAAGACTCCGGCGGGCGAGTGAGCCAACACAATTGAACGAAGCCGAAGACGGCTGGCCTCAGATTGTGGGAAGAACGACGACGTGGGCAAGTGATTGACCACATTATAGAAAATACAGAGGCGGAGCGAACCGGCCGGTATAGACTGGGGCGCAGAAGGTCATGGCTCTTGGGTCCACAGGAAACGGAGTGAGAGGTAAAAGGCATCAAATAGACCTGAAAACGCTAAAAGGAAGTCACATTAAGGGGCAATTAAGTTGCCCTGTTGGTTCGACCATGTCAAGTGAGAAGGGGGCTCTTGTGATAACAGGACTTTTATACTTTTTGAACAAATAGATTTGACAGCTTCCACCAAATGAGAATGTGAAGGCAAAATAAAGGAAAGATACCCGTGCCTGTGTGTGTGTGTCGGTTTATGTGTGTGTGTGTGTGTGTGTGTGTGAGCGCGTTCGCATGTGTCTGTATGCTTGTGGGTGTGAGAGGAGAGGGAGGGAGGGATAGAGAGGGAGGCGAGCAAAGTGATGAAACTTTGAAAAGAAATTAAATTAACTTTGAGCTGGGAGTATAATTGAATGGGGCTGGAAGAGTGCTTTTATTCCTTCCTCTCTGGCCGTCGGTAAAAGCGCCGGCCTGAAGCGCACTGAACAACTTGCAAAAGACTGATCGACTATTCTGAAATGGACGCATAAAGCAGCAAACTGCATGTTCGCCTCCCTCTTGATGCCATCCCTCCGAACCCTACGCAACCGAGACACCCTCGCAACTGCGCATGCATCAGTTCAGATTCAGAATTCCTCACAGGCTAAACGGGTGGGGGAGATGGGGGGCAGGTACCGGCACAAGACCGGGGCAGAAGCTTGACGGCATCAAAAAAGGGCTCAACCGGTGGCAGGATGAATTTGACCAAAGGGACAATTAATACTTCAGACTATGGGAAGAGAATTCGGCCAAGGATAGTGGAATTTTCGAGTAGCTATTCACATTCATTGCTGGTGAGAGCAAAGAACAGGCTTGTCGCATGGTACAGCAGGTATGTTTGCGGTGTTGACCAGACTTTCC